CTTTTTGAGACAGGGTTTTGCTGTGTAGTTCAGGCTGGCCTTGAACTCACCACCTAGCCCACACTGGCTTTGAGCTCACAGTGATTCTCCTACCTCAGCCTCCTGAGTGCTGGGCTGACAGGAGTGTGGCACCAGCGGGCTTTCTGGAAGGCTGCCAATACCCAAAGCCAGTGACCACCGCTGGGTCCTAGTTTCCTGCGGGAACAGTGTTCCAGGCTTGGGCTTCTTCTGGACGAAAGCCTCGCACGCAGCAAGCCAGTGTCCAGCAGCTGCCCATGCTAGGAGCTGCTCTTTGTCCTGATGCTGGAGAATTTGCTTTCGTGCCTGAGACAATTCGAGCACCGATCGCTGCAGCCAACCTGGAGATCTGGGGAGAGGATACGCAATGCTGTCTCAAGGATTGGATTCTGCAGGAGGAAAATCCTAGCAAAACTGGGATTATTTCCTTTGCAGAGTAGCTTCTAAGGTAGAAATTATAAATACATACTTTCCTGGCTCTCCCAGCATTATTTTTTAATGTGCGTGCCCCAAAATATAATATGCTGCTCTCAATTTTTTGAAGCAATACTAGATAGATAATCTGTTGCTAAATTCAGATGATTAATTATGGAAGCGTTGACACTTGTTCAAGGCCTACAAGCACCTTAAAAACTTTGTATATAGTACCTTAGATTGGGAAGAGTGTGATTTCTTTTTTCAGTACTGGGAATTGAACTCAAAGCCTTTGCACTGAGCTACAGCCTTAGAGCTCTTTTAAAAAATTATGTTTTATTTTGTGACAAGGTCTTGCTAAATTGCTAAATTGCCCAGTCTGGGCTCAGACTTGGGATCCTCCTGCCTCAGCCTCCCAGAATAGGGTGGTCCCAGGCAGGTACCGCCACCCAGCCGGGCATGCATATTTTAAGTGCTTGATGGATTTTTTTATAAGCTGAACACACCATGTAGTCAGTCCTCAAATCAAGGGACAGAATATTATAAAACCTCAGGCGCTGGCTCATGACCGGCGTCCTCATGGTGAATCCGGGCAACTCGCTGCTCTTTTGATGGTTACCAATGTGACTGCGTTCGCCCATTCTGTGCATATAGACCAGGTCACGCGGGACAGCTTTCCTGTCTCCCAGTGAGCTACAGCCCCAGCCCTGGCTTCTCCATTTAACCCCATTTTTGGGAGGCCCTTTCAGATCGTTGGGTGCAGTTAGAGATAGCCATAGCTCCTTTGTTCTCATCTCTTTTTGAAATTACAGGTAATCCATGATGATTTACTTGTCTCCTGTTGATGGGTAATTTGGGGTCATATTTATACTGGCGATGGGACAGATAGCCTGTAATACCTGTCTTCTGGGAGCGTGTGGGTGATTTCTGATGGAGTGGAAGCATGCACATTGTTTTTATTTTTTAATCTCTTGTTTTTCTCAGTGCTGGGAATGAACGGAGGGCCTTGTGGCTGCTAGGAATGACCCTACCGCTGAGCCAGCATTCAGTGTGACCCTACCACAGTGTGTGTCGCAGCCCCCACATCATTTGGTTGGTTGTTTGGTTGGGTTTTTGGAGATAGGATCTCACTATGTGGTTCAAGCTGGCCATAAACACACAGTGTAGTCCAGGTTGGTCTTGACTCCCAGCGATCCTCCCGCCTCTGCCTCGGGAGTGCTGGGATTACACATGCGCATCAGGAGGGTGACTTCAGAACCCTTCCCTTGATGGGCGAGAAGTGAGAGGGTCAAGTCTGGCCAGCTTGCTTGCTTTCTCTTTATTTCTTTCTTTTTCTTTTTTCATTTTTCCTTTTTTTCTCTCTTATTTTCTTTTCTTTTTTTTTTGTATTTTAGGGAAGGGTCTACAGCGTGTTCAGGGTCTCACTACTAGATGGTACTTGTAGTGATCCGCCTGTTTACAGCCTCCCAAAAGCTGGGATTATAGGTGTGTCACCACACCGAGTACAGCAGGCCCCGGGGATGGAACCTCCACCCCCACCCCCCCCACCTGCTTGCAGGCGCTTTAATCTACTGAGCTATTTGGCTGGCCCTCTTTCTTTCTTTCTTTCTTTCTCTTTTAGATCTTTATTTATGTACTTGGCACAGGGTCTCTCTGGCTACACAGCTCAGACTCATAGTGATCCAACTTGTAGTGTTCCTCCTGCCTCTGCCTCCTGGCACTGGAATTACAGGCATGTGTGACCACGCCTGGCTTCAGGGGCCAGCCTGCACACCCAGGATTCCTGCGCCAGCACAGCGTGTGATCGAAGGGGGTCCTTGCGCTTGCCAGGCAGGCACCTAGACTGCCGAGCTATCTCCCCAGACCTCTATCCTGTTTCTGAGCACGCTGCTCTTTCTCAGCTTCCCCTACAGGCCCCACTCATGGGCCTGGAGCTCCTGGACTGAATGGCGCTCCCGTCCCAGCCCTCAGGCACCTGAACTCCTGCCACCATTTGCCTGGGGCATCTGTGTCTTGCAGCATACCCTTCTGTTCCTAGGTTACCTCCCTGGCACCAGCCCTATCAGCTGGGCACCCTGCCCACGCAGCCACCCTGTTAGACCAAGCCGCACAGCCCTGTGCTCCCAGGGAGCCAGGCTTGCAGGAGCTGCACAGAAATGGCAAGCTGGCTGCTTTGGGGACGTCTGGGGAGATAGCTGTGGCTTGCTGGGACATCTCAGGGCTGGTATCCACTGTCGATGTGGACACAAAGGCTGGCACAGGCCTGGAGTGTCAGGAGCTGGAGGCAGAGCTGGGTCCTGAAGATGCCACAGAGGCAGGGAGCTGAGCAAATAGATCCAAGGGGGCAGCTGGCTGTTTTGCCTCCTGTGCACCTCGCCTGCTGGGTGAAGCTTCCTAGAACTCACCTTCTGCTTGCCTGAAATTCCCTATGTGGCCCAGCTTGGCCTCAGACTTACAGCAATCCTCCTGCTTCAGCTTCCTGAGGGCTGGATTATAGGACTGAGTCAGGCTGGCTTAAGTTGACTTCACTTTTAGTTCTAGAACTGGGCAACACTTACTCTGTTTTGCTAAATAGAGTAAGCATAGAAGAATAGATTGTATAGATAGAAAAAAAGCAGAAAGGAATGAAAGGGAGATTGGTTATTTCAGTTACTTGCCTTGTGAAGAGGTCAACCAGTTGGAACTGATAAAGAGTAGATGATTGGCTAGCATTGGGTTACTTCAGGTCACCTGTTCTGTGAAAGGCTTTAGGTAGGGGACTTCAGTTATCATGCTGGGCGAAGCTGGCCAGTTTTTTGTTTTTTGTTTTTTTTTTAATCTCATTTCTCCTGGTTTCATGGAAGGCAATGGCTTAATCTGCCTGGGTCCTGGAGACCTGTGCATGGGTGACTACATTGTGACTTTCAGTGTGGGCAGCTGGAGCCCTGGGCAGTAGCTTAGCTCCAAATGACAGCCTCCTGTCATTTCTTCTTAATATTTGAACAATTTCTTTTCAGTTCCTTAAGTATAGACCTGGAAGTGGAATTGTTAAGTCATCAGGTCAGTCTTTGTTGAGCTTTTGAAGAACTACAGTGGTTTCCATAGCTGCTGAGTTATTTTACATTCCTACCAGCAACAGATGCGGAATTTCAGCAAATTCTACACACGTTAAGCTGTAGTTTTTCTGTTTTTTTTTTTTTTTTTTTTTGAGACAGGGTCTCACTGTGTAGTTCAGTTTGCTCTTGAACTCACTATGTAGCGTAGGCTGACCTCAAACTCACCATAATCCTACCTCAGTCTCCCAAGTGCTGGGATTACAGGTGTGCACCGCCATACCCAGGGCCGTCTGAGCACCTCTTATGCCCTAAGCATAGGCAGTAAGGCAATAAACACATTAGTTGCTAGCTGAGAAAAGTCAAGAGGATTTTCTTGTTCTTTGTTCCTAACTTCCCTCATGAAATTAAATCTTGGCCTGAATTCTCACATGCCAACTCCCAAAGGGCACCTTTAGGTGGGGCTGTGCTGGGCCTCTGATCGCCTGGCAGTTCCTACCTGGCATCAGTCCCACCCAGCTTACAAAGGCCTGGGTTTTACAAGCCCTGACTAAGTACCTGATAAGTGTTGACTTCAGTGCTTGGAGCTGAGACCAACCAGGTTGCTGGCTTTCCAGCTCCAACTCCTTCAGCTTCTTCCTGCCCATCCAAACAAAGCAGAAAGCTTCGTAAAGTTCCTTTAAGAGTAAACACAGGAGTTGCTTCCCTCTTTGGTCCAGGCATCTGAGGCGGGGCCGGCAAGGCGAATCAGCATGTGTGCCCCCCAGCTTTGGAAATGACTGCATGGCCAGGTGGCGCCCGTGTTTATGAGCCAATTGCATGGATACGGGTTGCTGGAACTCTTTCAACTCCTTGGGAGCCGCCTGCTTCCTCCGGGGGTGGGGTGGGCTGGGCAAGCTGGAGTGGCCCTTGACTCTGCCTGGGTATCTGCTCACTATCCCCAGGGCACTCAGCTGCTCACTGGGAGAATGGGCATTCTGAATGCCCGCTAGTTTATTTTCAGTATTAGATACACAATATTAGATACACAAGGTGTCAAAGATCACCCCTGGCCCTCGCTGAAGGTGACATAAGAGAGCCTGGCATTTCCTTTGCAGGGACAGTCCCCCTCTGCAGCAGATGGGGGGACACCTGCTACTCAGGCACAGGTCCTTCTGCCTGTTGCTCTGGGGCGCTGGAGGTCAAATGTCACCTATCTGTTCTGGCTGAAGAGCCTGCACCCCGTGGAGCTTAGGGACTCCCCTCCTCTGCAAGTGTTCAGCGTCTCACTGGCCCTTGTCACCTGGCCAGTCTGTTGGATAACAGGAGCTGCCAGCCACCTCTCCCTGGGCTGCTGGCTGCCTCCATCTGCCTGTTCTGTCCTTGAACATCAGGCTAGGAGGAGAGAAAAGGGCCTGCTGAGCAGGCCAGGAGCCTGGGTCGAAGCAGGGGCCCCCCTGGGTCCTCAGCCCAGACTCCGTGGCCTCTTCCTCTTGGAGGCAGAAGACAGCGCCTCCACCCTGGCACGGTGAGGCTCATTCTGTCCTCTCCCCACAGTTCTGGGGAGAAGCACAGCACCCCATCACCCATTGGAGGTTTCAGCTATGTCCAGGGTGGCACCCGATTCCCTCTGATACACCACACTGTGGGCCAGTGCCTGGATGCCACGGCACAGAGGTTCCCTGACCGAGAGGCCTTGGTTGTCCTTCACGAAGACATCAGGATGACCTTTGCCCAGCTCAAGGACCAGGTGGGTCCTGACCTTGAGCCCTCAGCTTGGGCAGAACCAGTCCCCAGGCTGCCCTGGCCTGGTGCAGATGGAGAGGCACCTGTGACTGTGAGGTGCCTGCGGGCCTCAAGGGAGGGCAGCAGGGGACAGGGCTGAGGCGGAGGCGCTGCCTAACAAGCTCCTGGGGGCCTGGTTGGCTGCACTGCAGACCCACTCAGGCCTGTGCCTTTATCCTCCGTGATTCTGAGGTAGGCCAAGTGGTGAGGGTGAGTGTTGGGAGTCCCTCCTGTTGGCCCAGTCTCACCTTTGGGCCCCATCTACTTGCACCAGGTGGACAAAGCTGCTTCCGGTCTGCTGAGCATTGGCCTAAGTAAAGGTGATCGGCTGGGCATCTGGGGACCCAACTCCTATGCGTGGGTGCTCATGCAGCTGGCCACTGCTCAGGCGGGCATTGTTCTGGTGAGGAGGAGTCTGCCTGGTGCTGGGGGGATGTCAGGGGGACCCCACTCAAGGGGAGTGCCTGGTTCCTTGGCCCTAAACCTGTGCCTGGCTGGTTTCAGACACAGTGGTTCTTTTTCCTAAGGGCCAGGAAGGAGCTGGGCTGGGTGGGTCCTGCCTCTGCCTTCTGAGAATGGAGGGGCAGCAGAAGGTTGAGTGTCTCCTCATTGTCCCCCCAGGTGTCTGTCAATCCTGCCTACCAGGCTATGGAGCTGGAGTATGTCCTCAAAAAGGTAGTATGCGTTCCCAGCAGGAGGGTCCTTGTGGCAGCCTGGCTCAGAAGGGCTTCTGGTTATTACAGAGGCTGACTAGGTTGGGGAGGGCATGCCGGGTGACACTGAAGAGACAGTGTGGTTGGATAGAGGTCCACAGCCCATGAAGGGGTGCAGCTCAGACTGGTGTGGGCCCTGGGTGTGTCACGGTGGTAATGGCCGCGTGTGTGTATTTGTCTTATCCTGGGGGTGGACTGTGGGTATCCGGGAACCATGCGTGTACATGAGAGATAGAGCAACAGATGAGCATTGGGGTCCCTGCTGACCCCAGCTGGGGGCCTCCCCTCCCACAGGTGGGCTGCAAAGCCCTCGTGTTCCCCAAGCAGTTCAAGACCCAGCGATACTACGACATCCTGAAGCAGATCTGCCCAGAGCTGGACAAGGCGCAGCCAGGGGCGCTGAAGAGTAAGAGGTGGGTGTGTCCTGAACTTGGGGAGCAGGAGGCAGCGTCCCTCACCCTCCATGACCGCGGATCCCGGGCTGCAGGCCGTCCCTCCCTGAGCCCTCCCTCCTCCACCCCCACTCTCCCCAGGCTCCCAGATCTGACTACAGTCATCTCAGTGGACACCCCGATGCCAGGAACCCTGCTGCTGGATGAGGTGGTGGCGGAAGGCAGCACAGAGCAGCACCTGGCCCAGCTGCGGAGCTCGCAGCAGTTCTTGTCCAGCTATGACCCCATCAACATCCAGTTCACCTCGGTGGGTCACAGATCGCCAGGCGCACCCAGCCGCCTGGCCCCTCCCCTCCCAGGACAATCCCTCCCACCCCCACCCCCGCGCCCGGCTCGCGCACACGCCCCCTTCCTAGCCCTGTGCTCCTCTGGGCAGCGGCCCAGGACGGGAGCGAGGCCACGCTGTCGTCTGCTTCTCTTCTCAGGGGACGACAGGCAGCCCCAAGGGCGCCACCCTCTCGCACCACAACATCGTGAACAACTCCAACCTGATTGGCCTGCGCCTGGGCATGCCCCTGAAGGTGGGCTTCCAGGCCACGTGCCCTGCTGTCGGTGGGGGGTGGCTTTGCCGGGCGCCCCCTGCTGACCGGATGACTCCATGACGAAACGAACCCCGCCTCCTGTCTCGTCTCTAGCTGCCAGAGGAGTTGCGGGTGGTCCTGCCCAGCCCTCTGTACCACTGCCTGGGCTCCGTGGGGGGCACAATGGTGTCTATGCTGCACGGTGCCACCCTCATCCTCTCCTCGCCAAGCTTCAATGGCAAGAAGGCGCTGGAGGCCATCAGCGGAGAGAAGTGGGCATCGGTGGACAGGCTGCCGTGGGCTGCTGAGAACTCCTACTCCCCTCTCCTGGGCCCTGACCCTTCCCGAAATGTTGTCCCTCTAGCCCAGAGACCCAGGACAGGGCCGCAGGGCCGTCCCAGGATCCTGCCTTGAGCTGCCTGTTCCCCACAGCTTTGGCTTTCATGGTGGGGCGGCGAGGGCAGAGGGACTTCCTTCACCTCCAAGTCTAATTTGGAATCCCCCCCTTTACACAGAGGCTCCATGCTGTATGGCACCCCCACGATGTTCGTGGACATTCTGAACCAGCCAGACTTCTCCAGTTATGACCTCTCATCCATACGAGGAGGTGGGGTGAGGCCAAGGACCGCTGGAGGTGAAGGGGGGCGCGAAGGGCACTAACGTGGGTGGGAGCTGGGCCTAGTGGCACACACCGACAGTCTCAGCACTCTGGGAGGTGGAGGTAGGCGGATGGTAAGTCCAAGTCTTGCGTGGGCAATTTAGTGACTCAGTGTGACCCTCTCAAAAAAATATTTTTTTAGGGGCCAGAGAGATGGCTCAGTAGGATAAGCGCTTGACTGGCAAACGCAAGGATCTGAGTTCAATCCCCGGTTCCGCAAAAAAAAAAAAAAAAAAAAAAAAAAAAAAAAAATTTAAAGGACTGGGGATGTAGCTCAGTGTCAGACTCCCTAGTTCCATCCTCAGTATTGCAAAAATAAATATATAAATTAAAAAAAAAAAAAAACCTGGGTGGGAAGAAGGCAAACCCCAGAGTCCCTGGACACCAAACGAAGGCCAGCTGATGGGTACTGAGCAGGCCCAGGGTCAGGAGACAGACCGCTCTCCCGGGTGCAGGGGATCTATCTGCCAGGCCTGGGGGCAGGGTCAGTCAGCCTCTCTCTGATGCAGGTGTGATCGCTGGCTCCCCGGCGCCCCCAGAGCTGATCCGAGCAATCATCAACAAGATGAATATGAAGGAGCTGGTGGTGAGTAGTGGCCAGAGGATGACAGTGACTCCAGGTGGCCCCCTGTGCAGAAAACAGAGGCAGGGAGACATCGGACCTCCCTGTATCTGGTGAGGCATGGGGACAGGGGGTGGGGGAGTGAGTATTATACAGACATAAATTTATTTTCATAGAAATCTGGGGCAGAAACGCAGCATGGAAGGCTATGCGGTGAAGCTCTGTGTCCTGCTAGACCGTCCTAGCAGGCGGGGGCTGGTGTAGCTGGGCTGGATCAAGGGTCTGATACTTGTTTCCACACCTTGTTCTGGGGGTATTGGCAACAACTTCTGTGAGGGGAGCCCTGCAGGGCAAGGCGCGATGGCTAAGAGGGGCTTTGTGTCCTTCCTGGGCCCCAGCAGGTGGCCTGCCAGGACGTAGGTGGTGGAGGCCAGGGTAAGAAGGCAGTGGAAGGTCAGTAGTCTCACCGGCAAAAGGAAGGCAGAGGCCAGTCACCAGGACTGGCCAGGTCGGGAACTGCAGGGAGGCAAGGAAGGCTGTCAGGACTCAGGGGACCCACACGAGATGGGAGGGCACAGTGAGGCCCCGCAGGGTCTTTCCTCCCAGGGTGGGGGTCCCCATCCACCCATCCTCTTCCCGAGACAGTGAGGCTCTGTTTTCCTGGTTCCCACCTGTTCAGTGGCGGCCAGCTTTCTTGGACCTCTTGGTGGGGGACTTGCAGCTACGGAAGGCATCTGTGTCACGGATGTGCTGGCCCCTGTACTTGGCAGGTGATGCACAGGTGGCATCTGGGCGAGAAGTCTTGGCCTCTAGCCACCTGGAGAAACAGGGAGTTGCTGTGGCAGTGCTGGTGGCAGGAGGGATGGGAGCCACAGGGCCAGGGTAGACTTCTTGAATCTGTCTTTTTTTTTTTTTTTTTCAATATGAGGCTTGAACCCAGGACTCTGGCCTGAGCCCCATCCAGCTTCACCCCGCCCCCATCAAGGCAGGTTCTCTCTGAGTCACTAAATTGGACTGGCCCAATTTTCAAACTTCCTGCCTCAGCTCAGCAGAGTGCTAGGATTACAGATGTGCATCCCACACCAGGCTTCCTTGACAATGGAGACAGGCTCCCAGGCCTACTAGCAGATCTAGGATGTCTGCCTAGGATGTCTTAGTGCAGGACCATCAAACAGTGGTGTGTGAGGCGGGGACCTGGGGAAATTCTCACCGCCGAAGACCCCGGAGCGGGCAGGTGCACTTCCAAGGGTTGCTGGTGAGCGTGAGGGTCTCCAGGTTGTCAAAGGGAAAGTTGGGGGGCAGCTGGTTCAGGCGGTTGTTCTCCAGATGGACATGTTTCAGGGTAGTCACGCCGAGGAAGGCACCATCTGAGAACTGGGGAGGCGAGGGGGGCAGGAGTGAGTGTCCAGCCCAGGGTGAGCCATCCCAGCTCTGTCCCCCAGAGGGACAGGGTCCTTCCTTAGACAGAGTACTGGCACCTTGAGCAGTTTCAGTTTTCTTCCTTCCTTTCTATTTTTTTTTTTTTTCTTTCTTATTTTGTGAGACAGGAACTCACTATGTAGTCCAGGCTGGCCTTGAACTCACCATTAGCCCAGGCTGGCGTTGAACTCCTGGCTAGCCTCCTGCCTCAGTCTCCCAAATGCTGGGAGAATGGGCATGCATGTACCACCGAGCCAGGCTTGTAGTTGCAGTTTCAAAACAGAAAGCTGCTTTGACTAAGCAGACTGGATGAGCTAATCCACATGGCCCCCTTGGAGATAGGTGCTGTTTCCAATGTGCAGATGGCTGAGTGGAAAAAGTCCCGTCCCCTGGCCAGGAGTCCAGTATGGGGTCCACGGTGGCCGCAGGACCACACCCTGCTCCCTGCACAAACACCGGCCCTGGGGAAGCAGTCAGAGTTTGGCCCCAGAAGCCCAGGCTGGCCCACAGTGAGCCTGGGCAGTGTCTGGTGGGGTGGGCGCTGGGCCCGGGGTCCTGGGACTTCCCCAGCTCTGTCCTCAGCGCTCCCTTACTGCCTGCCAGACTCTATTTGTGGAGCCACCTTGGTGGACTTTGGCTGGGCCGGTGGCTCTGGAGGAAATGTTCTATTGGTGCCCACATCTTGGCCCGGGCTCCACAGTTCCTGTCTAGCTGCCCTGTCACAAATCAGACCCTGATAGGCTGCTCTGCTGCCCCTCAGGCCACTCCTACCCTGCTGGGCACAGGGGCTGCCTCCTACAGCTGGGTTAGGGCCCGGGCAGGCTGTCCTCCCCAGGCTGGCTGCTGCCCTGCTGGGATCTGCCCTCGTCTCTGTATTGGTGTCCTCTCCTGCATCCTGGGTGGGGGTGAGATATTCTTTCTGGGAGACGATCTTGCCGTGTAGCTCAGCCTGACCTGGACTCACTGTGTAGCTCAGGCTGGCCTCAAGCTCAGGGTGATCCTCCTGCCTCAGCTTCCCCAGTCCTGGGATTACAGGCATGTGTCACTAGGCCTGGCTGGAGCGTGACATACTCTAGTAACTAGACTGTCCTCTACCTTATCCTGGTCTCTCTCTCAACCTGGCTGAAGCCCTTGTGCCAGTATGATTTGCGACCCCATCCAGGGTGGCCCTGCTGAGCAGTGTGGGCATTCCAGGGCAGAAGGACCAGGGAGATGCAAGGGACTTGGCTCTGGTGACAGTGGGCAGAACGGGCCAGCAATCCGGGGGATGGTGAAGTCCAGCCAGTCCTCCCTGGGGGGAGACTCTAGGGTCTTGTGCCAAAGGTTGGTAATGGTGCTCCTGCCTTTGCTCGTCCGACACAGCCCATGGCACTATGCCCTGCAGCCGTGGGCCCCTGTGTCTTGACTTCCCCCACTCACTGGAGCAGACCTGAGAATGCAGAGGGTTGCGTGGAGAGAGGGAAACTGGTGGGTGTTGGGAGCAGCAGCTCCCCCAGCCTCTGTGGGGCTGAGGAGGTCTTCCCGGGGTACCTGCTCTCCCTTCCCCTCTGGCCCCAGTTCCACTTTAGCACGCAGGCTGGCCCTGCCAGGAACAGTGTCTCTTTGTGGGCCTGATTTTGCCAGCTCCTTCGCAAACAAACCTTCCTTTATGGGATGCTGGGTTCCCTGGAGCCGGGGCAGAACCTGGAGGAGGGGCGGGGTCTCCAGCAGAAGAGGCGGCTGCTGCTCCTGGCAGGGCTTGGGAGCGCAGGGGATGCCTCCTAGGAGGCCATTTGTGAGAGCAGGGCATCCCCCAGGTCTCTGGGTAGGAATCTTTGTGAGACAAGAGGCTGGGAGGGGATTAGGATGGTGGCAGCCTGGGTGTGACAGGGTGCAGCAGAGAGGGGCAGAGCTCTGAGCAGCAGGGAGTCTGGGGGTGCTGCACGGTGCCAGCTATGTCCCTGGCAGGGCAGAGGGAGCCAGGCCGAGCCCCGCTGCTGGGCACTCACCTTCTCCAAGCTGGTGTTGTCCAGCCACAGGGTCTCCAGGTAGCGGGCGAAGGACTGGAAGGCACTGTCAGGAATGCTCTTCAGAGGGTTGTGTGACAGCTTCAGCTCCTCCACCACGCGCAGCTTGCTCAGGGCAGCAGCTGGGTAGCTGGACAGCTGGTTCCTGTCCAGGTAGAACTTGGCGAGGTTCTCCACATCATCCAGGGCGCCGGGCTGCAGGGAGCTGAGTGCATTCTCTGACAGGTACAGCCAGCGCAGGTCCTTGGCGCCCTGGAAGGCGCCTGCCCGCAGCTCTCGGATCTTGTTGTTGTTGAGCTGCAGGATGAAGAGGTTAACCAGAGGGGACAGCAGCCCCCGGGGCAGCTCGGTCACTTTGTTATGGTCCAGGTAGAGGTAGGTGAGCTCCGTCAGGTCATCAAAGGCACCAGCGCGCAGTGTGCGGATGTCGTTGTGTGACAGGTACAGGTAGATGAGCTGCTTGAGGCCCCGGAAGGCGCCAGCAGCCACCTCGCGGATCTGGCAGTGCTGCAGGTGCAGCGACACCAGGTTCGGCATGGCGCGGAAGGAGTTGGCAGCCAGCACCGGGAAGTTGTTGCGCTGCAGGTTCAGCAGCTTGGTCTTCTCTGACACCTTGGGGATCTTCTGGAGCCCTACCTTGTCACAGATGACGTGCTGCAGGTCACTGTGGCAGTGGCAGTTCTGGGGGCAGGCGGCCAGCGCCGGCAGCAGGCTGGCCAGGAGGC